GGCAAAAGGTGTGTGTGGCAATGGAGTCACTCATTTGGGGTGGTGGGAGGGGCTCATACAGCACCTGCCCCAGTTGTGGGAGCTGGACACCCCACCCAGGGTGACTAGAGACTTTTTGCCCATGCCTGGAAAGCGGGGAGAGGACAAATATGGCCATGGGTGGGAAAGCTGGATATTGTCATTAGCTTCCTGAGTATGTGGGATTTTGAAAGGGCCCTTTTTAAAGCAAAGGCACAAAGAAACTTGCTTTCTTGGTTTGGGGCCTGACTTATGCTCTGATTGTTTTGCTTTGTAGCTTGATGCAAGCTCTCTCACTTGCTCTCTTAGTACAGGATTTTGGAACTTGGTATAAGCGCACTCGCACTCTCTTTCTTCCCGCCCCTCTCTCTCTCCCTCCCTCCCTCTCTGGCTTTTGGCACTGGTGCAGGATCTTGGCTCTGGCCTTGTTCCCTGCATGGACAGGAGCACTCACAGGACCAGGCAGATGCCATAACCACCAGGGGCTTAGACCCTGCATGGATAGAAGCCCACTCCCAGAGGCAGGGTCCCACACTGGGACACGTGCATTGCTGGCCTCCAGGCTCTGGGACACTAGCACAAAGGTCCTGGACAGCTACATGGAAACTGAGAACAGTGCACCCCAGATCCTGAGAGAGCTGCTGCAAGAAGATAGCAGCTCTGCAACCCACAAGTGCACATCCTAAAGAGGATGGAGATCTGTTTGCATGAGTGGCTGAAGGACAGATAAGGAAATGTGGAGCTTTTGGACATGGGTTTTGCTTGTAGCCTTTTGGGGACCAAGGGAAGTTCTGAGTCTTGTGGGAGAAGAGGCCTCAAAGCAGGAGTGATCTCAGCCCCCCAAAGTTGGAACTCTGTTAATAAAAACCAGTTTCCTTCAACACAAATTGTTGAGTCATGTGGAATAAGGGAGACAAGTGGCTGAACCCCATTCTGTAGTTAAAAATCCTTTCAGTGAACAAATGAACCTGAAGCTGGTCTTAGAGACCCTGGACACATTATGCCATACTTATAGGTAACACTCTTTCCTGATTTTTAGGAGTGTTATAGTGTAGTATAAACTTTTGAAACTTCACATTTTCTCCTTTACCTCAACATCCTCACAAATAGTCTGCGTACACTCTGCTCAGGTGACCAGGTGAACAATTGTAACAAGAATGGCCCCTCCCCACCTCACATTCCCCTTTCTGCCTCACCCTGACCATGACTGAATAACATTTAGACACACCAGTGAAAGCCTCTTACGCCTTTTCTGGAGGAATCATCCTTGACTGTCAATAAAGGCACTTGCCACAGGTCCCCTTGGCACTCTCCATCCCCACCCCCACCACCCTGTGTGGTCCCTCCTGGCATGAGGTAACTATTTCTAGGGCCTGAGAGTATAATAAATTTTGTTTTCTTATGCTATCCCTGTGTTCTTTCTTGTGGCCACCTGATGGGCCATCTCATAAAAAAGCATGGAACATACAGGAAGAATTCAGAAACGTCATCTCAAGTATTTTTATTGGCATTTCATTATTGGTCATGGTGGTTTATTTGTTTGGCTATTTATTTTGAAAGGGGGTGTTTTAAATCCTCACTATAGGTTCTGTTTTCGCAAGTAAATAGAGGGGAATTACACTGAAGCACTTTACTGGCTCTGCCTATCACAGTATGACTACTTACAATGTTTTCCCTGTTAGAGCACTGCTGTTCTAACAGTGAAAGACAACTGAAGTGCAAATACAGCTTAGGGGAAAAACAATGATTGAATAAATGACATCTAAACAAATAGGCTTAATTTTTAGCATTCCTGTTTCTCATTCAAAACCAAATAAAAACACGCAATTATACATAAAATCTAGGATCTTTGGACTTAGAAATGTTGATAGAGATGATATCTCATATTTCTTTTATTTACAAATGATCTCTCAGTTTAAATGACTGTATTAGTATTCAATTTTAAGCCATCGAAGCTTATGAACACCATGAAACTTATCAATATTTAAAATGTAGTTAACAAAACAAGGATATTATATATCTTTAGACTGGGTTTTATATATTCAAGTAGCATCTTTTACTGTTTCTGTGACTTACTCCCTGGCTTCCAAAGAATTTATAAATTCAATTATTTTTATCATAAAGTTTAAATTATCAATCTTGAAATATGACCCCAAGGTGCTCTCATCATTTGGGGACCAGTATGCTAAATAAACTCACACTTAGAAGTATGGCAGATGGATGAAATTTTAAAAATACATATTTTATGTATTCAGATATATCTACACATTTTCTATCATCTGCAGTGATTTTCTATTGCAATCTGATCAAAGATCACTCAATAAAGCAGCACCAATCCCTAGAGAACTTGAGAAATTTCAATGTTGTCTTTGAAATGTAATGTTTTAAGTTACAATGGAAAGTGGAACTAGGTAAAAAGAAAAATAAACTAAAAAACATTCCTTTAAAATGTAAAATGCAAGGAAATAGAATAGATGTATACATTTAATGGAAAATGTATCCCCGAATAAATAGTTTTGCCTCAGTTTTATTTGAATTTAACAATTCACACAATTTCATTCCTCCCAGAAAAGTACAACATATCTCTCACTTGTAAAAATAATACCAGTTCTGAAAAGTTTATTCAGTCCTTGTCCTTTAGTTTTTAATCACATGAATGCCCACTGCATGAGAATTTAAATGGTATAGATCAACATATAGTTTTAAAACTTGTTTTTACAATTTACCTTTTATTCAGCTTCTATTATATATGATATTAGATTGAAGTCCTAATTCCCATCTTTATTGAGGTATTATACATAAGGGGAAAAGCAGCAGTATACTAATTTTTATGGGGTATAGCAATGTATACTTTATGTCAGAGGCTGAGAGTTTCACAAAGAAATATTTTGGAGTCATTTTTTTCTCTGACAGATTCAGCAAAGCCAACTGAATTTTCTAAACACTTCCCAGAAAGCTGTATAGTTTAGAAGAGTTAAGAAGAATTAACAAGTAAAATATAGTGAAACATGCAACTAATTGAAAAGTTACTAATATACAAATTGATGTCTAAGAATTACAATATATGTTACATGCCTAGTGAATAGATATAGCGATCATTTGAGTGGTTAGGGAACAATGTAAGGAAGATTAATAAATAAGTGGAAAGGAAGAGGAGGTGTGCAAATGGAAAGAGTTTCAAATACTGGGTCTCTAAAGAATGGAGAGAAATTTTAGAAATCATTATTATGAAAGTTAATAAAATTTGAAACTTTTTTTGTAAGCTATCAAATTTTGCACTCTAATATTCTGGGCATATTTGTAACACCTCTAACATTTTTATTTTAGTAATACATTTGACTTTTAATGCATTTCAGCATATTATTTTCTCTGTCAGAAAACAAAATTATGTAACTGCAAATATCTACTACTTAAAGGGAAATTCTTCTAAGAATTATAGTTTTTCTAGTAAAACAAGTACATTTCATTTTAAACTTTTAATAACAACTAAATTTATCCTAAAATAGCAAATGCCTAGCAATTTCCATTATTGTTTCTTTCCCTTGCTAATACAATTCATGAGATTGTGGACCTGAAGAAAGAAGATAGGGACCAAGAAAGGCTCTTGGTGGCTAAATGGGCTCCAATTAAACACCAATAACAAAAGTAAGGCCTCACAGCCAGTTCTAAAGGAGCCTCTCCTGCAAACCACAATTCAGGAAGAAGACGGCAGGAAGCTACCTTTCTCCAGCACTAAATAAACTGCCTTCCTGCATTTTGTTCCTGATGTCTGAACCAGCCCTCATAGAGAGTGTCTGGAATCCTATTTCGACCAATAAAATTGAGATTTTCCCCACGCAATTGGAGCTGTGCAGCTTTATCATTAACATCTTCACTGACCAATCAAAGTGTCTCCATTTTAACCATCAAACCAGGGGCTTTTGGACCAATCAAACTGTAAGGATTTGGAGTCCTCACATGCATGAGGATGAATGAATCAGGGAGCAGAGTGGAGAGTTCTGCCTTTAAAAGTCAGCTACCCTCTGACTGCAGAGAATACTTTACCTTTCTATTGAAGACTGAAGATTGTGTTTCCCTGGTTGGAGCTGAAATACCAACGATGGCTTGTGGGATCAGAGCAAAGAGCAGTGATTCAGAGCTGACAGGAGCAGGTAGAGACCAGAACAGGGCAGAGCTGTTTAGCCAAAGAGGAGTCTCACCTGAGGGCCGCCTTGCAACCTTGCTGTACCACAGCTGCTTCATAATGGAGCTGTAAAACTTTTAAGCTGTTCTCACAGCTCTGTTAGTCTCATACAGCTGAGGTGTTTGCACTGAATAAGTTTCTTTCTTCACTCCACCCCACATTGGGGATTTCTGTTGGCACTGAAATGGCATCAAGTCATTGGTTGACAAGATGTAAGTCTGCTCTGCTTATTAATGCATCCCTATGTTTCCTTCTCAGGCTAGGACCTAAAAGGAGCATTTTAGGAGAAACGGTCAAACTAAGCTTGGCATTTCCCATTCGAGAAAGACTCTGAATGCATTTTGTCTCTAGAACAGATGGCAATGTCCTTTCCTTGGGCCCTGGGCCTTAGCCCTTCTTTCGCCTTTCTTCAATAGTACCAGTAGTGATACAGCAGTTTAATGTGGTACTAATGTTGCGGAAAATAACTCACACGCGGGAGAGATGGCGGAGCATGATTCTTTATTACGCGTGTGGGCTCAGAGGGGAAATCCCAAATTCTGAGAGCCGAACCTTATTTCCCCGGGGTTTAAATAGCCCCAGGCTTCCTACCTGGCGAAGCAAGTTTACAGAAGCTAGAAGCGGAAGTTAGGTCTAGCTACCTTATATGGGAGACAAAGGAGCAAAGCGCGGGAGGAATTTACAGAGGCTGCAGAGCACAGGAGCTCATCATGGGGGTTCTTTTTTCCTGCCACATTCCTCCCTTTGATGCTAAACAGCACTGGTGTCTGTTGTAGCATCAGTGTCGTAGTCCGCATATTCACTCTCCATTTGCGGTAATCTCCGGTAGTGATGTCTCTGGAAAGAAAGGATCTTGGCGGCAGCTCGTCCGGTTACTGTCCGGTATCTGTTGCACTACCGTGCGCAGTAAACAGGGTCCTATAGTTAATACAAAGAAAAGAATGACAAAAGGGACTAAAATAGGGGCTAAAATAGGAAAAAGGACTGATTGCCACCAAGAGTGGTTTTCGGCAGGGGAGCTGATGCTCCCCAATCTCTGGCGAATGTCTTTTAGTTTGCTAATATTTTCTTCTACTATTCCACTTCCGTTCCTGTAGTAACAGCATTCTTCCTGGAGGAAAAGACAAGTTCCCCCCTTTTCCTCAGTAAGTAAGTCTAATGCCCGCCAGTTTTGCTGGGCACCCTGAGCTAGGGAAGTTATTTGCCTCTGCAGTGAGGCCATGGATAGTGCAGAGGTGTCCATGGTCTGATTTAACTCTTCCCGGAGCTCCTTAGTGCATTGGAGGCTGACTGCTAGTCCTATACTGCCCAGTTCGGATCCAATGGCTGAAGTGGCGAAACTTAACCAGACCATTAGGGGGAGGACTGCTCGCTTCTGATGTTCTTGGGCAAGCAGGGTATTTAACTCGCCCGGTTGATATAAGGCAAGCTGGGGGGCTAAGGCCACGAGATAGCAAGGGGCTGGGGTGCTATGGTTTACCGACAGGTAGAGTCCCATTACACCAAAAGAAAGTTCCCTGCGGGCTGGTGATGGATCCAGAGGATGGCAACGTCTGATTGCAGGAACTAGGTGGTCCGTAGCATTCCCGTGCTCTGATGGATGTGTCCTGGAACAGCGGAACACCTTGGAGAGAAAAGGATTCTGGGTTTGGGCTTTGGAAATGGTGAGGGGTTGTCGAAGAGGAGCAGCAGTCAATGGTGGCCTGTTAAGATATGCACATAAGAAACAGTCATTGTAATTGCCTGGACTGGTTAGATTAAGTAGCTGCGCCCCCTGCTGTATTAGTTTTATCCAAGAGAAAGGTCCTACTGATTTTTGACCTTCCAATTTTTCAGTTAGTGTCTTTTCTTGATTTTCTATAACTGAATGGATGTGACAGATGGTATTTAGGGCAGGGTTTTGCATTTCTCTGACCTTTACAATAAACACGTCTCCAACTGGCCCGCTATGCCACATATTTACATAAATTTTCCCTTTTACTCCCCTTTCCCATTCTTTGTCATTTGGATCCTGTATTGGAAAAATTATTGGTTTCCAATCAGTTGCAGTGTGTTGCCGACAATTGATGTATGGACATCCTCCATAAGTGTCTTCCCACCTTTTATAATAATCTTTTGTCTGATCCTTTAGCAAGCAAAGGGTGGGGGCTAAACCCCACCATCTTTTAGGGATTTGAGGTCAGTGGATTTGATGGTGAAAGTCATGGGTCCTCTGCAGCCTGAGCTGAGACAGGTCATGACACCCACGGTATGGGTTTTAACATTATTGCCTTTTCTATAGGTTTCCCTGGCATAGAATCTCCAGATATATGGCTGCTTTAGAGCTAAAGCTAATCCAGATAAAACTTGGGTGTAAAATAATATTTCTAAAATTCTGCTGATGACTATTTGCTAAAAGAAACAGATTAGAGATACAAAGATGAAAATCACACAGAAATATGCAGCATCCAAAAGAGAATTTTCAATGAGTCCCCAGTCTTTAGGAGTTACAAAGACCAGTATTATCCCAAAAATTCCTGCTGCCAAGGTCACAGGGGCTAGGAACTCAGCCGGGCATTTGTCCATAATCCTGGTGTTGAGCTGTAACCTCCCAGATGTCTTAGGCTCCTGAAGTGTCCTTCCGTTGCTGTAGTTTCAAGGCCAGAACCCGCTGCTTGGCAGCTTCTTCTCCCGGTCCTTCTGGCCCAGCGGCTGCTTTCACCAGAGAATGGTGGATCCACAGCGTGATTCCTGTGACCTTAAGGGCAGTAGGGGTAGTTAAAAGTACCAAGTGAGGGCCCGTCCACACAGGTTGGAGAGGCTCCTTTTTCCAGTCTTTTACCCATACATACTGTCCCAGATGGTATGGGTGTGCTGGCCCCCCTCGGGGTTTAGGTTCAACCCCTAATTGGACTTTTCCTATCTGGTGGGCTTTTCCTATCTGGTCGGCTTTTCCTAGCTGTTCTAAATACCTTCTTTGTCCTATTTCCCCTTGTACTGGTAAGTTGCTAGGTCCTGTTATCCTTACTCTGGGAGTGCCTTCCATATACTAACTCATAGCGGATATACCCTACCTGGTGTGGGGTACTTCTAACTCGGAGCAGGGCTTTTGGCAACAAGTCTGTTGAGGGCAGCCCCGCCTCTTGGCAGAGTTTTGCCAAAGTTTCTTTCAGTGTTCTATTCATTCTTTCCACTTTCTCCAACCTCTGGGGCCAGTATGCAGTGTGCAACTTCCACCTTATATTTAACAGTCTTGCTAAATCCTGCACCACCTGGGAAATAAAAGCTGGTCCATTGTCACTTCCTATGCTTAGGGGTAGTCTGTGTCAGAGAATTATTTCTCTTAGTAGAGCTCTAGCTACCTCTCTGGCCCTTTCAGTCCTGGCTGGGAAAGCTTCGACCCAATCTGAGAAGGTGCATAAAAGGACAAGCAAGTACTTGTATTCCCAGCTTGGTTTGACTTCAGTGAAATCCACCTGTAGGTCTTGCAGAGGTTGAGTTTTCCGGTACTGTGTTCCTGGCGGGACCTGATTGTTCCCTGCTGCATTGTTCTTAGCGCAAGTTACACATCTGGCTGCAACTCTAAGCACATAGGCTAAACAGGTCAGTAAATATGGTTTCTGCCATTAACTGGTTTTATTATCATCAATAGGTCACTTTATAATACCTACATTTAGTTTCTTTGTTTTTATTTTTTATTTTTTTGTTTTTATTTTTAAATTTTATTTTAATCATTGTTCAAATACAGTTTTCTGTCCTTTACTCCCATCCCAGCCAAGTTTTTTTTATTTTTAAATTAAGATTTTAAGGTTCCCATGAATTTAAAAATAATATAACTTTTGATATAATATTGGCATAGCTGCTACAATCTTTATTTCTATAGCTGGTATCTTTCCATCCCAAGTTTTCCTTGACCTCTGACAACACCTTGTTTTACCTGATAGGGTGACCCAAATTTTTACATCCAAGGGTTCTAGATCATCATTCACTTATTAAATTAGCACACTTTCTATTAAGGTTAATAATCAAATAACAGAAAATTTCAATATTCTGTTGAAATTAGTCAATAGAATAATCTGACTCTACATAACTAGAAAAGAACCTAGTAATTTAAGTAGGTAAATTACTTAGTAATTTAGACTTAAAACAACTTAGTAACCCCCTTGTCACTTTTATTTATATGCATGAATAGCCACAAATGGCCATAAAGCAGCCACAACTTCTACTTGAATGGCATCATGGCTGTGTTCCTTGATGGAAGTGTCCTCCTTTGGAAACAAGGCATCTGCATCTACCAATTTCAAGGGTGGGGAATTAGGAAGAATCACTGTAGAGTGTGTTGTTAGATACAGTAGTTAAAAAGGCACTCCCCCTCCACTCCTTGGTTTCTGTCCCTGTGAATTACGGCTATGGTAGAAACAGCACCTTATGTCAGTTTCTTGTAAGAGGTATATACCACACCCTCCAGGAAAACTCCCACATAGAATGTGCTGTTCAAACTTCTGCCCACTGGGAGATTTACCTTCATAATGATCTTTCAGAGTTACCCTGGATGAAGCTGTTGGGCAATATAGACAGTAGACATCCACTTCTGGCTGATACCAATATTTTCTTTTGTTAACTGGTCAGAACAACTATCCAAAAGCCAAAGGACAGGTCAGAGAAAGGGTAACAAAGCATCAAGGAAGGTAGGGAGTGTGAGCCAACTACTTGTGCACTTTACTCATGTTTTCTGGATGTTCTTAGACCAAATTTCTCATGTAGTACCCCAATTTAATGGTGGTGCAGGCCCAACTTAATAATTTACTGGAATAAAAAACATTAAGTTTGTATTAGGCAACTTAGGCTTAATATTCACTTTATGTCCTATACTCAGATGTTCAGCCTTTAGCAGTTCCCATTAGTTAGGATTTGCTTCTCAAATGAAGAATTGTTTTTGACAGAGGATGACAAGGTGTTGCTCCAAATTGTGGATCTGTCCAATGTTTCACCCATCGGAGCTCAACAGAGATTCCATAAAGCATTTCTAAGTGCAAAAGACACTTGAGGAATCATTGGTCATAAGACTCAAGCCTCAGTCAGCTTAAACAGCAGCCTGGAATTGAAGGAGCTCTCTTTCTCTGGGTTCCACTTCAAATTGGATTATTCCCAAAAAGAGTCAGAGCAGTGTACCCAATGTGACACATATTGCCATAAAAATCCCAAAGCCCTTTGTTTCTCTTTCTTTGTGGTGGGCAGTAAAAAAAATGCAGTGATTTATTTTTACATTTGGACGGTCTATTCCAACAAGCTCCAGAAAAACTGAGCCTCACTTTACTACATGACAGGAGCTGGGAGTTTCTCTTGACTTAATATCTCACTCTTTTGCATGTTTGTAGTTTTCTAAGGTATTTAGGTACTTAGTAGTTTTTGTTTCTCAAACTTAATTAGCATATATAAAAAAAAAGAATGGACCAGCATGAAGTTCTCTGGAATATTAAGACACATGATTCTTGCTGATTATATTATGAGAAAATGTAGAGTTGATATAAATGTAATTTTTACAGTTTATTATATTGATTATGTTATTACATAACATATTTTTTCCGCCCCTTTATCCCCTTCAACCCTGCATTGCCCTTCCACCAGCATTGCCCCTCTTGTTCATGTCCATGAGTCATACATATAAGTTCTTTGGCTTCTCCATTTCCTATACCTCTCCCTGTCCATTATTAACCTCTCCCTGTCCATTTTGTACCTATCAATTATGCTTTTTGCTTGTACCTTTCCCCCCATTCTCCCCCTCCCCTTCCCTGCTGATAACTCTCCACATGATCTCCATTTCTGTGATTCTTTCCCTGGTCTCCTTGTTTGCTACATTTGCTTTTGTTTTGTAGGTTCAGTTGTTGATAGTTGTGAGTTTGTTGTCATTTTGTTGTTCATAGTTTTAATCTTCTTTTTCTTAGATAAGTCCCTTTAACATTTTATATAACAAGGGCTTGGTGATGATGAACTTCTTTAACTTGACCTATCTGGGAAGCACTTCATCTGCCCTTCCATTCCAAATGATAGTTTTGCTGGATAGAGCAATCTTGGATGTAGCTTGTTGCCTTTCATGACTTTGAATACTTCTTTCCAGCCCCTTCTTGCCTGTAAGATTTCTTTTGAGAAATGAGTTGACAGTCTTATGGAAACTCTTTTGTAGGTAACTGTCTTCTTTTCTCTTGCTGCTTTTAAGATTCTCTCATTATCTTTAATCTTGGGTAATTTAATTATGATGTGTCTTGGTGTGTTCCTCCTTGGGTAATTTAAAACAATGAAGATATTCTTACTCTTCCACCCAAATGGAAGTGATCTATTTCTAATTGCACTTATTAATTAGGACAGAGAAAACTTTTTCTAAGTCCATAGTTGCACACAATATGCTAAAGGCTATGTTGTGCTCAGCAATGAGTCTAAATACAATATCTGAAATGGAAACTGTAATTGACATCACTGCCTTCTTAAAGTTTATGATAATCTGCAATCATTCTGAAGACCCATCCAGTTTTTGCACTGGCCAAAAAGGGAGTTAAATGAACATTTGGAGGATATAATGGCCTCTAGCACCTCTGGCTTTTGATGGTGGTACTAATCTCAATAATTCCCTTAGGAAATTACTTTTGTTTTACTATTGTGTAGTGTAGGAGGAGGGAAAAACTAAGGGATGGGAGTGGAAGTGACCTTTCAAGGAGCTTCCACTTTAGTTCTTCCTGCTACAATTTCCTTTACTCCGTAAGTCAGTGGACCATTATTAAAATTGTACCAGTTGCCAATCTATTCCAATAATTCATATAGGAACTATGGAAATAATTAAAAAATGGCTCTTCAGACCTATTGAATCACAGTAATAAGAGATTGTGCCAAGGCTCTAGCACCCTTATGCTGTCTAGTGGGGCACAATAGCTGTGTTAAATCCATAGATGTCTTTGTTAACTCAGACTCAAGACTGAAGCCTAC